GGGGGGGAGGCGTCGCCGAAGCGTGACTTGCCAGGGGCCCATTAAGTAGTATGGGAGGGTAGCCGTAGAGGCGGAACGCACCGCGGCGCGGGGGTACGGGGTGAGGGGGAGAGCGGCGGGCAGCGCGGCCGCGGCCAGGACGCCCTCGAGGAGGGGCGGGGGCGCTGCGCCATGAGTCCCGACCCCCGTGGGCACCCGTGGGCCGGGCTCGGTCGTCGCTGCATTTTCTCCCTGACGCGCTGCGGGCACCGCGACGACCCCGTTAACGTCCACCTTCATTGATGTGTGTCCGCCACAGGGAAGGCGCCGGCACCACCACCGCCGCCGCCGTCCTCGGCCCGGGAGGTGGGCGTCATCGGGCCGCCCATCGGACCGCCGGGGGGGCTCACCAGCCGCATGGAGATCATCTTGAAGAGCGGCGAGGAGAAGGAAGAGGAGGAGGAGGACCACGACGCGGTGAGTGTGAGCGCAAGCAGTGACTCGCTAATGCAGCGCCTCGCGTGTGAACGTCCGAGTGCACGCGCGCCGCGTGCGCTTCCTGCTGCAGAGTCCGACCGGAAACGCAACACGACTCACTGCGATATGCATTACTACTTTTGCTCCACCCACGTACACCTCTACACAGATTAGTTTAAAATTCTCGCACTTTTGTATTTCAATTAGAAGCCGTCATGCGAAAACAGTTTGCAATATAAAATGTTTCTAAAAGTTTACAACCGAACTCAATTGAACTCGAGCCCGTTTGTGTCCACAGAGCTCGGGCCTAGGCGACCCCACCGTGTCCAACAGCAGCAACGCCTCTCTGAGCCGGCCCGAGAGCGTGCGGACGGCGAGCCCCGGCGCCCGCAGCAGTGGTGAGTCCTTCGTTCATACATACATCTTCTCCTAGATCGAGGCCCTCTCTCTGCCGGGCCTGACTCAAGGGCTACTAACTTTAAAAAAAAACAAAAATAAAATCAGTCAACAATCTTTAAGAAATCGGTTTACATCTTGCAAAAATCAGAAAAAAAAATCAGAAAAATTCAGACATGTGAAAAAATCAGAAACAAATAAAATTTCATCAAAAATGAATACAAAACAGAAATAATTGTGTACGCTTGAATTTTTAGTGAGTACCTTATGACTAGTGAGAACCGCATGACTAATCGGGTGTTGCAGTGGTGGCGCTGGGCCAGGAGGCGGGCTGGGTGCGCGTGCTGACGGGGCGGCCGGGGGAGCGCGCCGAGCGCGGCGCCCTCGTGTACCTCACGCCCGCGACGGCCGTCCGGGACGTGAGCCGCGACCTGCTGCTGCCGCCGCACCTCACGCTGTGGGTGCAGCACGGCCGCGGCGCGCCCAGCCACCGGCTGCGCGCCGACGACAAGCCGCTCGTCATCCAGGACCGCTTCCTGCAGCGGCTCGGCTTCTCGGACCGCAGCCGGCGCGCCCGCCTCGGCATCGACCCCGAGCTCAGGCACCTCATCCGCTTCCACGTGGGTGAGTAGAGCAGCACAGTGAATGGACAAACAAAAAAAAAGGAAAAAGGTTGGAAAATTATGCGCATGAAAAAATAAAATTTTATTAAATGTTTTTTTTAAACCGCAGGAAGTACACCGCCTTTGGCCGAGGTGGCGGGCGCCACGCGCAGCGGCTCCCTGATGCTTCTCAAGGGCCTCGTCTTCCCGCACTGGAAGCGGCGGCCGGCGCTGCTGCTCGGCGACCGCCTCTTCCTCTACCCCGGTGAGTGATGAACCACGACCCCGGTGACCGCACCGGCGGCTCTCTCCGACATCACCTACATCGTCGTGCTCCTTCTATATCCACGCAGCCCCCGGGTCGCTGACGGCCGCCCCCGAGGAGCTCCGCGTCGAGTCCGTGTCCTCGCGGTCGCCGCGCGGCGGTCGGCTCGTGCTGCGCGTCGCGGCCCAGCCCAACGGCCCGCGCAGGCACGTCTTCCTGGGCTTCGGCAGCTGCTGGGAGCGCGACCAGTGGGCCGAGTGGCTACAAGAGGTGAGTTCAAATCGGATACTTGTACCTGAAAATTTGGAAACTTATTTTCCGAATAAATTGGGAACACTCAGAAAAAATTTAAACAAGAGAGACGTAGATCATAAAATTAATTTTGTGCTAAGGCTAAGGCCTTTAATGTTGTTGTGTCATTCGAAAAGTGCGTGCGTCATCATGACTAGAGTTGACAAGCTGGGAGGCCTCTCCCGTTACGAAAGTGCCTAGTTAAACTAATTCAATGCCCCATGGCGCCTGTCAAATAGGCAACGTCTTCCGTGTGGTGCATGCGTGTACGTCGGGGCGGCCTACCTCGAGTCTCGCAGGCGCCGAGCTCTCGTAATTAGCCGAACGTTCTAAGAAACTGATGTACCGTCGAGACGCGACCTCCAAGAAGAGCAGGAAAATTGCCAGTGCAGTGGTAGACTCATTTCAAAATAATAATCGTAGCCGAAAGAATTAGGAAATTAAAATGAATACAATCGAAGAGTTCCCAAAAAATGCTTCCCTAAAAAATTGATATCCTTAATACTAGTTCCACAAAACAGAGCGCCTCCGTCCCTGGTGGCCGGCGCCGCGGCACAGGCAGTAGGCAGCCCAACGGGCGTCGCGGTGCCTTCGCGCTCTGCAGCGCCGCGCGGCAGGCAACCCAACGTTGCCGCCCCCACCAGCACCCTCCCACGCACTCCCTCCGCCGCGAGGCAGGCGACCCTTCCTGCCGCCGCCCACGCTGCACTGCACTGGGCGCCGTGAGGGGTAGGCCACACCCGCGGCGGCGGCAACGCCATCGCCTCCCCGGCAGGTCGCGGCTGCGGCCGGAGACTGCGACGCGCGTGAGGGCGCAAAGATCCCCCCGCGTGACCTGGTACGCCAAAAAAACACTCTCGCCGTCGCTGAATCAGCCACTTTGTTTTGCGACTCTGAAATGCAAATGCAGGAAAAGTGCCGCAGGTCCTGCCTCGTCCTCGCCGAGTGGCAGCCGCTGCGCGACGCACGAAAAAACTATAAACGCGACGTTTTTCTCCACCAAAACACACTCTCGGAGCGCAGCAGTCCGCGGCAAGCTGTCGGCCCCCTCCGCCCCACCCTCTCTGCCCCACCCCTTCCGTCCCGCCCCCGCCCGCTCCCGCAGTTCGCGAGCGTCGTTTTCTTTGTCACTGGCCCGAATCCCTGACGACGGTCGCGTCTCGCGCGCCTCATCGTTGTGCTGAATCGGCTTTAGGCAGTAGCACACATCATGGGTCGGCCTGGTTACGACTATGAAGGTTCTTGACCAACGTTCTCTGTGGGTGAGCGGAACTGACCGAACACACAATGTTCGGTCGGATCGTCTACTCTGAACTCTGCGAAGTTCAGCCTGTTCAAGCTCTCATAGCGCCTGATAGGTAGGCAACATCTTGCCTGCAGTGCATGCGTGTACGGCGGGGTGGCCCACCCTAAGTCTCGCAGGCGCTGAGCTCCCATAATTTTGCTAAACAAATCTGAGAAAGAACGGACGCACCACCCCTTAAAACGCAATATGCCAAAGGTATGCACTTGGGTATGCATGATGGAACTCAAGATGGTGTCAAGACAACATGTCACACATTAGTTTTTTGTTCCTAGTGTTCAGCTCAATGTTTAATTTTCCCTTTTATACTGTGAGGTCGACGTCTCGAACGGGTACTGATCGCGAGAGTGATCGATAGAAGAAAGGGTCAGATTTAGGCCGGTCTGGCGAAGTGCCCGGCGGAGAGCGCGGCGGAGAGCGCGGGAGAGCGGCACGCGGCACGCGGCACGCGCGCGCGAGGGCCTCTCGGAGGCCGCGGGGCTGCGGGAGCGCTGGCGCTCGCACCGCGGTTGGTGGCGAGAGCGGCGTGGCGCGGCGTGGCGGAACGTTGCTGGAGCCGTGCGCGTCGCTCCGCTTGAGGTAACCCTCTTCTTGCACTCTGGAGCGGCTGGGGCACGCGGCCCGGAGCTATCTGCAGGCTCCAGAGAAGCGACGCGCTGCTGGTTAAAGCCCCCTCCAGCAGGGGCCACGGCGAGCGCGGGGGCCCGGGGGGGCCGTGCCATCCCGCTATGACTGGCAGTGACACGGACGACGCACATGGCGGAGGACACGGCGACGGCCGGCTGCCGCGGGGACGGAAAAGGATTAACCGGGAGCCCCAGGATGTGACCCCCGCCGGCCGCGGAGTGAAGCGAAGTAGGGCCCGCTGCTGTTCCGGCCAACCCTCTTCATCAACGTCCTCGGTGGCGGGCACCCCGCGAACACCCCCGGGACGGCCGCCGCGACCTCCAGGATGTGATCACGCCCGGCCGGCGGCGCCACGTATGGCGGTGACGCGGAGGCGCCAGCCCGCCGCCGGGCACAGCCGCAGAGTAAGGACAGGACATAATAAGCCTAGCAATAGAACGGAAAGCATGAGGAGTTTGCATTTCCTAATTCATAGGCAAAATCTTGAAAATTGACTGGTCCTTTTTCGCGTGACTTGTTTGTGATATTGCAGTATGTGCCTTCCTTTCTATTAGATTGAGTGTAGTATTTGTGTTGGGGATCTCTGGAGGGGTACAGTACCTCAATATCAATTCACAATTCATTTTTCTGTTGTTTGTTTGTTGTTTCTTAAGCATTCTATTCTAGTTTTTTTTTCTGTCTTTTTCTGATGTTGAAATCGATATTTCT